TCGCGGGAAAGCCGACTTGATTAATGTTCTCAATCGTCATGCAATGATAGCCTCCATGTCGACGGTTCCGATTTTCCGCATTCCTTTATCGGACAGGAAAAATGCTCTCTTCCACAGATCCGAAGAAAAAGAACCCTCACCATTCAAAGGTGAATGTCTGTCAATGTTGTCCGTAATGCCGCCTCCGATCAGGAGACCGCTGAAATCGGATTTCGATTCCCACGTCAACCGTTTAATTGTCAAGTGCGGAATGTGTGTTATCTGCCGAAATACAAGGGATTACAGTTGGATGGTCAACCCATGTATACTGAGTTCGAAACTAAAAGAAATCGAACACGAAAACTTCCTCACCGAAACGATCGAGGATCAAGATCCATGAATGACGATTCCGAACTGTAAGCACAGTTGTGAATGCTCATGCGTCATGCTATTATTCAGACCTAAAAGAAAAACTAAAGTTATAATTATATATCAACTGGACCATTCATTGGACAAAGGGAATCTCCATATCCGATATTCCTCAGAACAATGACTGCCGATAATTCACGACAAATTCGTTCAGGCCTGCGAAAGCATCGCATCATTTCTCTCATGCTAATTCATGTGTTCATGCTCTTTGCTGTCGTACTCATTTATCGCGAATCGTTGTCACGCTTTCTGTCGTAATCACTCGACAAACTCGCTCGGGCCTTGGATAGAATCGCATCCGGCATGCGGGCAATTGACAATAAGATTGATGTGGTCGAAGTTCACGGACCTGCACGCACAAGACTCGCTCTTGTCGTCATGCACTTATGAGCAGTATCGACATATATTCTCCTCAAGTTTCAATTTGGACTTCGGGACGCCTCGTGCCGACATTTGTTGCAAGTGCGAGGAGAAACGTCAGAAGATGAAGACGAGCAGAGACGATACTGAGAGGCGGCAGCTCGAACGCCAGCTCCAAGTACATAAGCGTGAGGCAAAGGTGTTTTATCGATCACTGAATGCGGATCTCGACGCTTCCATCGCTGTGTTCGCCGTAGACATGATGCAAACCCAGCCTTTACCGAAAACACCAATCGGGGAAGCCTCCTACGCTCGTCATATTTGGCAATATATTCTAGGCATCGTGCGCCACTACGGAGCAGAATCTCAACAAAGAATCGACGATTGCTTCCTGTAGACATGGACGGAATTCCAGTCTGGGAGAGTTGCGGACGAAATCTCAAGTGCTTCAGCACATTTCTTCCATCACTCGAGCGAGCACAACAGGAACATCTCGACCATCGAAATCTTTTCGGACTCATGCGCCGCCCAAAATAAGAATTACTGTCTCCTCGCAGTGCTCTCTGGGTTTGCTCGAGAGCTAGACAAGGCGTTCGAGCTCACACACAGAGTACCGGGCCACAGCTTCTTACCGGCAGATCGACACTTTGGACGTCTTGAGAAGATACTGCGTCAACATGACACCTCACCAACTCCGAAGGAATATATCCTGTTGTTCGCGCGAGTGGCAAAAGGAAATGGATTTCATACGGGTCGAGAGAGACGGCGAGATTGAATGCTGCAAAAATTACGGGACCACTCCCCATGATAAATTTTCTTTGCTCAAAACGAATCAGAACCCCAATCTGTTCCGTATCGACAGAGGGCGACGACATTCGAAGCCCAACTCGTTGAGTGTGCAGAAACTCAGAGATGTCTCTTAACGAAGACCGGAATATCGGATGACCATTCAAGCATGTCGTTCTACAAAGAACTAGGAGCCGTTGGGAATCGAGAGGAGACCAGCACTGAAGGTGGTGACACTTCAAGCGCGGAATGAGAGGCACAGAGCGGTTTCAGATTCTGAGAATGACCGAAGTTTCAGACTAGACCTGTCTTGTCTAGTCTGGGCAATTCAATAGCTGATGTCAGCATAAATAGATTGTCGTCGCCTCTTCTTCCCGTTCGAAAGCCGTTTTGCATTTCTCCGAGTATACTCTCGACTCAAGAGAGCTGCAGTATATCAGGCGCTAATAAGACTGTTCACTCTTGAATAGAAAACCGAGACGAGCCACCAAGGAAATCCCTCCGCCCATTGATATCAATCAATTCGACCAAAACAGGCGGTATAATCGAAAGAAGGGTTCGTTGCAAGAGCTCTATGAGAACATTCCAGCAACCCAGAGGAGAGTCACACCTGTTCACCTTCACTTTGAGTGACGAGTCAGGAGAGATCAATGTAATCACGTCCGGCGTCGTAGCCGTGAAGTCTTTCGATCAGATCAGACTCGGAAAGGGCTACAGAATAAGCATATCCGAAGTCAAGGCAGTGAGTCCGAAATATGAGACAGCGAACAATGACTTCGAAATACAATTGACAATGGTAATCATGGGGAACAACCTAGAAACCACCCTTTGAATCGGAAAATTTGTGGATAGAAATTCTCCCAATTAGAGTCTTAATCGTGCCGCTTACATATAGCTGAGCAAAGTGGAGGAGATCGATGGAGGACATTTCCCAGTCGTTGAGACAAATTCGATCACAATTCCTCAAGTGCTGGGAAAGAACTCTACGGGGATGATCGATCTCCTTGCGATTACATACGATGTGGAAGGACCGCAGTCTTTCTCATGCCGCGACGGCGCGACCCGAACGCGTCAAAACGTGACGCAGGTCGACGACTCTCTGCGAGCTGTCGCTTGTGGCTGGAGTTCGTCGGAGTTTTGAGAGGTCGCGAGGGGACGTGCGAAACGTTAAAAATGTTCAAGCCCGAGAATACAGTGGGAAAGACAATAACGTCGACGTCGAACATCATCATCGATCCCGAGTGCAGGGACGATGAGGTCAATCGGGCAAAACTAAGGGAATGGTGGGAGTCCGGGGGCGCCGAAGAGGAATTCGAAGAAGTCCTGTGGGTGAAGAATTAATGAAAGCAGAGCTTTCTATAAAAGCGTTTCTGGATGGTGGGATTGTCCAATCACAAACATCACAGCATCGGTTTTCAAAGTTAGGAAGACCTGGCTTTCGCAATGTAATTTAGGATTTCGAGGGCGGACATTGCAGCGAAGCGCAACGGGCTCTGCGAGTATTCTCCAAATGAAACCCTCTGCTCCTGCTGCGACCTTCCGAGTGCCAATGATGAATGGCATTCTGAACCTCCTCCTCTCGATCTTACAGGAAGATCTCGTCTTGGTCGAAGACGGTGTTGTCGAGCACAAACCAATTCGGCAAACGATTGGGGTTGCCCGAGGAGACTGCCTCAGCCCCCTCCTCTTCTCGACATTGGTGGGCGACTTGCCTAAGCGCATACGAGACCGCCACCCCCAAGTACAAGTGCTCATGTACGCCGACGATCTCGCCCTGTTCTCGTCGAGTCGGTTCCATCTCCAACAAGCCCTGAGGAGCCTGGAACGATATGTCGTTGAGAATGATATCGAGATCAACGCCTCGAAGTCGGAAGCTCTCAAATCCCGCCGCGGTGGTAGACCCTCGAGCTCAGATCAGTTCAGAATCGACTCAGACACTCTTGAGCTTGTTGATCACTTTCCGTACCTCGGAATTTTCTTCTCGGCGTTTGGCTGCTCGTTCTCACGGCATCTCCGCGAGCGAGTTCACCTGGGTCATTTCGCTTTTCACTGCATCGAGAACCCTCACAAGCTCTCCCTGAGGACGGCCGAGGCTCTATTCACTCTGAAAATCGAGCCGACGGCATGTTACGGGACCCACCGCATGCAGCTGGATCGCCTCAAGGTGGCTTTCCTCAAAACAGTGTTCAAGTGCACCGATCACGCAGAAACAGACTCGTCTATCTCGTGGCGAATGTCCCATTACTTTCGGAGCAAGTCCAGCGAAGATTCAATCTAACCGAGGCCTTCGCCGAGCACTGTCACGAGTGGGACCGGAGGCTGACGGACGTGAACCCCGAAGTTTTCAACACCGGGGCCTTTTCTTCAGACCGTTGGAAGGGTTCCGACTACATGAACGGGCATCTTGTCACCCTGTTTGCGATGCACGGCTTTCTCCACAAGAATTGCTCCCGCAGAGGCTTCCATGACGGACGAATGCATCTGTTCCCTATGCGAGGAGATAGGCGGAACGTATCATTTTCAGCGATGCCCGAGGAAAGTGACGCTCTCCAGGTTGGCGTAAATCTCGGTATATAAAGTGGTCAACAGTTAATAAATGGTTGAATTGAGAATGATGAATGGACACGAAACCCCGATCCGCAAAGAACCGAAATTGAAACGACCAAGGTCTTCTGTATATTAGCGAAAGCTTCGGCAACGAAACGTCGCTCGATAGTACGCGGGATCGGGCGGTGGGTACAGGACCCAAGATATGAGAAGCAGAGGGTAAGGCTGCGCAGTTATACATACGATCGCCCCTAATGAAAGGGATCAGATGTTTGTTAAGGTCGCGATGCTTTATTGATGACCCTTCCTTCATAGACGAGAATGGTCGTCGAGCTGCGACTGCGAATAACGACTCGAAGATACGAACTGCTCACAATCAACTGCAGATAGATTCCAGGAATGAGCGAATTCAAATCCCACCGCTGGAACTGCCGGGCGTGGGTGCTGCACACGGCTGGTTGTCCCTTCTTAACCATCGCAAGAGCGAGTTCCACAAGCCCGCAGCCTCGTGACACTCGTTGGCGGTTTCCGAGTTCGTACTCGTTTTCGACTCGGACCCATTCGTATTCGCTAGAGTTTCCGCGATTTCATAAATAGATTCAACAACCATAGAAGCTTGGATGAGGCGCTTTTCTGTCCGGGCGTGAACGCGCAGTTGGCCTCTTGCGTGACGAACGCTGTCGAAGTCGTTTTGCTCGCACTGTACAGGAAGAACCGAGTTCAAATCACAGTTTTGACATCCTTGCCCCGCCAAGAGCTCGCTCAAAAGTTCTGGTCCTCGCGCGCCTGACACAACGTTGCTGCACAAGATGATTCCGGCGAAAATGAGCCTGGCTTCCATCTTGAACTGCTACTGTCGAACTCCAAGGCGCGGCAATCATGAAATTCCCGAGGACCGTTCTCAATCGCCGCCTGCAGATCGATTCGATTGTGTCTTGGCATAGAGGCTCTCTCCACCTTTGAAGGTGCCACTCGTTCAGTAATTTTCGTTCGCCACTATTGGTTTTTCGCTTCTGTAACAAACAGCTTCGAGAGACCCTCCTCCAGTCACTTCTAGATTTGGTAAACACGCTTTGGACCAGAGAATTTGTTAACTATTCCAAATGGTTTACAAAATCGAGAGGCAATATTTTTCGAGAAAAAAATGCACGTTTTAGCTTGGAATGTTCTCTATATTCGGTACAGAGGACTTTCGAATAAGGCCACCCTATGATTCCGAATGTCTGAACGAACGGAGTGGAGTAATCCGACTCCGAGACCTTGCCCTGATGCACCTATCCACGACAATCACATCAGGCAACTTTCAGCAACCAGCATCGACTACCGTAGAGTTTGAGCGAAAAATCCGAATTTTCGGCTGGAAGTTGGGCTAAGGTGGCCATGTGTCATCAGCTCAATTTCTGCCGATTCTTGTCATTTTGTCTCAATTGTCTTTCATGGCGGTCTTGAGTTCTCCGATCGTGTTGATTCGTTTCCCATTAGCACAAACCAACCTCGCGAGCATCCCCCATCAGTTCTCTATCGGATTCAGGTCCGGACTGAGGGGGGATGATCCCGCATAGGCATGGAATGCTCCTCAAACCATCCTTTCATGAAATTAGAGCAATGTATAGATGCATTGTCTTACATGAATATGAGATCTGATTCATGAGAATGGCTCGCCAATGGGAGGAGGAAGTTCTCCAGGGATCTGGCGCACAGCTCGAAGTTCCGTCGTCCCTCCAAAAATGCGATCTCGGATCCGCCATTGGCAGAAATCGCAGCCCAGATCATCACAGAACTCCGCCCAAGTCCCGACTGAGTGAGAATTGTCCGCTTTTCTTTCCTCAAGTCGCGCCAATAATAATGAAATCCGTCGAGGAAGATGACTGTGTGCCATCTTGACCACGACTCGAGGGCCTTGATCGCGTAGTTCATCCGATTCACCAAGTGCAAGTTTCTGCCACTTGAGATGCTGAGTGGACGGGAGAATGCTTCGGATTTGCAGAGACCGACAGGCTAGGTTCGGCCTTGAGCTTCGACGAGTTATATCGAGAATTTGAGGCCTCGCGCAGAAGCTTCCGTTTCTCGCGTTCGGCCAGCTTGGAATTCCCTTTGGCGTAGAACTACGCCGTACGGCTCGGTTCGGAAAAAAAGCGTCACGGAGAGGAGGAAAAACCATTGTTGCGTCGAAATGCATTTCCTCTCTCGGAAAACTATCGTAATGCAGCTCACCTCACTGCAATCCACTCTCGTGAAAACTGGGGAGCAAGAGAAACGCTTTTCCATTTGGAAACGCTTGCGATTTCTTCCTAGGCTTCGACTTCCAAAACGCGCCAAAATTCGAAAAAAAACATTAGGTCGCGAAGTTGCCGGTGGCGAAAGTGGGACTGGAATCACAGCACGGGGAAAGCACATTACCGTGAATCCTCCAATGGTGACCCGGGCCTCTAGTTTTGACGTGAAAACGTTTTTAAAATGTCTCTAGTAGCCGGTCGAAGAAACTTCGTCCTCCATTCAGCGAAATCTACCCCGCTTTTGCGGGGCTGAATCTCCGCTGGTAGGCATCGGATTATCACGAGGATTGGGTCGAAAGATTGCAAATTTATGGGACATTGTCCCGATCAATTTTCGTCCGGAACTGAACTGAGAAGGAGATTCCATTGGACGATTTCTGTCGACCCTCGAAAACCTCTCTTAAGCAATATGAATGACGAGCGCTCCCGGTCGCCGCTTCGCGGCGGCTCGGTATCGCTAGACTCACTACACATGCGTTGGCTCCGGGTGCGCTGGCTCCCAGTGCGCTGGCTCCGGGTGCGCTCGCTTTGGCCGAGCGAGCTCTGGGTGCGCGTCCCGATTCCCCGCTTTCCCGTTTCCCAGCTTTCCCGTTTCCCAGCCTTCCCGCTTCCCAGCTTTCCCGTTTCCCCCGCTTTCCCGTTTCCCCGCTTTCCCGTTTCCCCGCTTTCCCGTTTCCCCGCTTCCCGTTTCCCCGCTTTCCCGTTTCCCCGCTTTCCCGTTTCCCCGCTTTCCCGTTTCCCCGCTTTCCCGTTTCCCCGCTTTCCCGTTTCCCCCGCTTTCCCGTTTCCCCGCTTTCCCGTTTCCCCGCTTTCCATTTCATCTGTACAAGCTTACAGGGACAAAAGCAAAAGGGACTTCAATCAACACCACGGAGTTCGCCAGAAAACATTTGGAGAAAACGATCATGTGTACGTAAAGATGCACCGTCGAAACAAAGAATTCTGGACACCGGGCACCATAAAGAACCGGAACAACGCCTTCTACGACGTTAAGGTCGAAAACAAGGTAACAAGACGACACGCTAGCCAACTGAGACAACGTCACGCTGACGCCTCAGTCGGCTCAAGACAAATGATCAATGGATTCCAACTAGCGTTCGATCTGCCTCTGCCAAGTGAGCAACGTTCTTTCTCCATCAAAGGGAAGAGAGACCCAGTAGGTCCAAAAACACCCATCAAAACACACTATGATACACTCCAAACACCTGAACGAACACCACAATTTATTCCAAAAATTGAAACACTGATGAAGAAACTTAGAACAGTGG